AAAAAAAAAAAAAAAAAAAAAAAAAAAAAAAAAAAAAAAAAAAAAAAACATATTTGTAGCCATTTTTTCTCTTACACCTTCACTCTTTTGGATTACTATTTCTCGAATCTTATACGTTTGATCCTATAGAATCTGAACGTTTACCAACGAATAGGTCGAGTAAAGAATCCTGACTTTCTAGCACAAGTTACATCTATATTGAAGAAGGAAGATCATGTAGTAGTGGTAAGAAGAAAAAACATATTTGTAGCCATTTTTGCATCCCAATGCAGATTTAAGGAGTAGATCATTGAACAAATTTGCAGGCTTGCAACAGTGGTGGTAGAGGACATCGCGCTTGCATCGATCTTCGTAACGCGGTGAGATTCGAGGTTGATAGAACTAAATTGTAAGGTTAACAAGATGAGTAAGTAATGAGATTTATTGGGAAATTTCAGGGGTATGAGCATGTGAAGAACATGGGAGGAGGGTACTCTGCTTGGGTTGACAGTGGATTTGCTGGAGACAAACCAGCTGAAGAGCTCAAAATAGCTTGTAAGTTCCGAGGTTGAGCACTTCAAGGACAGAATGTTTGTTGTTTGTCTGTGTTTTTAGTTCCTGCAAGTTTCATTGTCTGTGCAAAATAAAGAAGTTTCTAAGTTCCTGCTCCAATGTAATATTAAAAGCTTTATGATACCTGTTGCATATGGGTGCACGAGTGCACTCAACCAGTGTTACATGGTGTGTGAGATCTCACATAGGTTAGGGAGGGATCCTACATTCCATAAGGATGCTCTCATCGTCTCCATCTCATAGTAGGTTTCCACAACTTTTCTCTAGTTTTTAGGAGGTTCAGACCTACTCCCTTACACCGCTCTAAGCTTTTGTGTAGGTCTCAAAGTTCCAATTGATTCATCATGAGTCGTGTACCTATGTAGTCCCTAGTCCCCTTTTAAGATTGGGTTGCGATATCAGCCTTGACTCGCTCCTTCACACAATAGAAGTGTTCACCCTAAACCACCTACCCATGTAGTCCTTAATCTTTACCAAGATCGGTTTATGGAGTTGCTGCGTCAGCGTTGACTGGTTCCTACACTCAATAGGGGTTCTCATCTTCATGGGGTCTACGGGTTCACCCATTTCTACACTCAATAAGAGTTCCTATCTTGAGCTAACTACCCGTGTAGTTATTAGTCTTTCTTCAGATCAGTTAAACGAGATAACGACATCAGTCTTATCTCGACTCTACATTAAATAGTAACTTTACTAGGCTCGAGGTTTGAATAAGCTACTTTAACTATATCTAGATGTTGTGGGAATCTATTAGGTTCTTAGGAGCGTCCAGACGGTTTAAACCCCCTTTCTTGTTTCTAGGACAGGCCAAACTAGGCTATAGGTGCACACATGCCTAAACCTCTTATCACTCACGATGCTTGGGTGTAAGGTCTACTGGAAATGTACTAGTCTAGGCTTACATGTAAACTGCACTAGCTGTAGCACCCTAATCTCTAAATTGTGCATGTGTCACGCACCGATTGACTGAAGGCGTGGTTCAATTCCATGGGCACACTATTTTTCCTTCGACTTTCTCTCATGGAGACACGTGTCCCACGTGAAGCTAGATTGGGTCGATGCAGATAGGTGGGCTTACAGGTCTTGTGCGAAACTTGGGTAGGGTATGGAGCAGAGTCGAACCAGGTTGTATCCTATGCGCATGCGCCACCCGCCTCTTCGCTTGACATGTGTCCCAATCACGGCCTAACGTGTGTCCTTCTTCCTCAGCAATACGCAACCCCAAAATTCTCGATTATCTTTCTACGTAATTCATATCAACATAATTACTTCACGAAATTTGTAGTGTTTTAATCCAACTTTTCATATATAGTGTTTTAATTACAAAAAGCATATAATCGAGTCCAAAATCGATAAAAGAAAATCAATACTCACAATTCTTGACGAGCGTTGCGACTCTTATCTCCAATCCAAATCGACTCCGACTTCCTTCACAGATTATGAGCAAAATATTTTATTCATATTAGTAGTAATTATCAGTTCAATCCAATAATTTACTTATAAAAATAATTATTAATTAAAAAAAAAAAAGTGGGACAAAGCCAGGCTGTAAATAATAATAATAAAAAAAAAAACGTGACCGTACCTACCACGTGAATAAGCAACATCCATTTTGAACGTTTTTTATTTGAAAAAAAAAATATAATAAAGCCTAATTCGTCATTTTGCAATGGTTTTCAAAATAACCAATGTCGCTTATCAAATCTCTGCCCGCTGCCCCTGCCCCATCTGACACCGGCTGCCCGATTACTTATAAATTACAATATGATTTTTTTTTCTATATTTAAAATTTAAAACTTATATTCATGTCCAATTTTTACGTTTTTAATTTAAAATTTCAAAGAAATGAAATAATAATGGATTATTTTGTACATGCTTCTATTTTTTTTAATAATAATAAATAATACGAAACCAGAAATAATTACAAAATTTTAATCTATTTTTATTATTTAAAAAAAGAAAAAAGAAGCACTAAATATTAAATCACTATAGAATTATAAATTATTTTCGTAATATATATACTTAAAATTTAGCTTGTATTAATTAAATTTATTTTTATAATATTCATATAAGACTAAAGTTGTAATAATTTACCATAGTTTTAAATTAATTAAAATTTGCAAATTTTCATATTCCAAACCTTTTGATGGTAAAAAAAAAAAATAATGATGTCAAATAACAATTATTGTTTAAAAAAACTCTTAAAATAACATATAAAAAAACTTTTTAAAATTTAAAAAAAATTATTTTTTTTTAAATTTAGAGTTTCAATGTTATTATTATTTTTACTATTTTGTTTAGTTTATTGTGTCCGGAAAGGACAGTGGGGCAGCCTCGAACCATGGTCGGCAATACAAAACAGGCTGTAAATATTTAATATATATATATATAATAAGTAATATCCGCACGTGTTAAATTGTGTGGAGTTCGTGCGATAAGCGACTCCAATTATTGTTCCCTTCCAAAATATCTCTGTCGGTTATGAAGACTGTGTGGTTTTCCTCCCCTCTATTCCCGTCAATACGGCATCGTTTTACCTCTGTACTAAAACAATATTTTAATCGATATTTTTAAAAATAAAAACGACAAAGAAATGGCCGAAAAATAAAGTAATTTATATTTCATTTCATTCTTTACACATAAAATTTCAAAAAAATGATTTAAAAAATAAATGGTTGGCCCAGTCTCTATTATTTTAATTTTTAAATTATATATTCCACTTTAGAAATGTAATTTATATTCTCATTGTCCATCAACTTGTTTTTTTACCTAATATTTTCCTAAAATGAGAAGAACCCATTAAAGTTTTATAATCATAATAATGAAGACTTAATTGAGAAGAAAGTAACTATAAATTCTCTTTTAATTAATTGATTAATTGATTAAAAAATGTTTAGCCTTAATATTTATTAAAATACAAAAATTAAATCATGACATTTTAAAATTTTATATTAGAGAAATAATAGGAGATTATAAATTATCCTCTAAAATTATAAGCTTTTAATATTTATGGCAAATTTACTTATAGGCAGTTTTAATATTCACCGACGGTGAATTAAAAAATAAAAAATATATTTAATTATTATTTTTGGAGATAAAAAGAAAGTATTTCGAATCTGACTTTTGGATTGAAGGGTCAAATAAGACTGAAAAGTGACAGGGTACGAAAAGACTAATCCACCCTCGATGGGTCTAGAACCATAAACAAAAAAGTGCCTTAAATTAATATTAAAAAAATATATAATAAACTGCTAAAATAATTAAAATAAACAGGTCTTCAAATGGCGCATCACTCAAGTTGCAATAAACTATAATTAATCTGAAAAATTGGTTATTTTATTCTTTTTATTTCACTTTTATTGAAATTTTAATCTAACTTTGGTCACTTTTAAAAAATAGAATTAAAATAAATCAAATTTAAAATTACATACCTTAAATTAAACCAAAATTATATTTACAACTTTGTTTTTTTTTTTAATAAATTTAATAAATCTTATCACTTAAATTGACATATTTTTTTTAATATTTATTTTAAATATAAAAATAAAATAACTCAAAATTAATAAAAATATTCGAATATAAAAAGTCCACTCAACACTGACCTAAATGATAGTTTGAGATATTTATAAAAATTTAAAAATAATATCGTAAGTTTTTAGTGAATATAAATATTTTAAATTTTTAGAAATATATATAGATATAGAATTTAAAATATGAATTATTGATTATTTTAGGTAAAATATAATTAGTATTATTTATTAAACGGAGGACCATATGATGAGTTGATTCGGAGATGTTACACACGCTGAACAGTCGACGACGCTGTCTTAAATGCTTGAAAAATAAAAAGAGAAAAAGAGAAAAAAAGCGAAAAAGCAAAATAAAGAATTTATAAAAAATAGTCAAATTTATTTTAATAAATTTTAAAAAAATAATAGACGTCAAAATCAAATTTCATTTTCCTTCCGTCTTTTTTTCCCTTTTTCTTTTCATTTAAGGAATAAATTTTTTTTTAATTTTATAATATACATAATACCATTTATTTTCAACTAATAAATACGAAAGGGTATAATAGATATGAAAAATGTTTGGGCCCACACACAAGGGTATAATAGTAATTTCATCATGTGGAAACTCGTTTTATAAAATCGGTCAAATTTTCAAATCACCCCCCGATAAGATTAAGATCCCTCTCCTCCGCCGTTCAAACCGTTCTCTGAAAAATCTGATCTTTTTTTCAAGAAATTTGTTCATGGGGTCTTTGAAGCTGCCGCCTTCAACGACGGTGCTGAAATGGTTGGGATTTGTCTCCGCCGTGTGGGTTCAGGCCATTTCCGGCAACAATTACACCTTTTCCAACTACTCCGACGTCCTTAAGTCTCTGATGAATCTCACCCAACTTCAGCTCAATAATCTCTCTGTCGCGAAAGACGTCGGTAAAGCCTTTGGCTTACTCGCCGGAATCGCCTGTGATCGTTTCCCCACGTGGGTCATCTTGCTCATTGGATCTTTGGAAGGCCTTCTTGGCTATGGCGCTCAGTGGCTCGTCGTTAGCCAGAGGATTTCTCCGCTTCCTTATTGGCAGGTCATTCTTCAACTTTACCTTCTGGGTCAAGATATCAAATCTTGAGCTGTTCTTTGATTGTTAAAAAATGACGTTTTTTTTTTTGGGTCAGATGTGCATTTTCTTGTGTATGGGCGGAAACAGCACGACATGGATGAACACGGCGGTGTTGGTGACATGTATCAGAAACTTCCGGAAGAATCGCGGCCCTGTTTCCGGCATACTTAAAGGCTACGTTGGTCTCAGCACCGCGATTTTCACCGATCTCTGTACTGCTCTGTTTTCCAACGACCCTTCTTCCTTCCTCGTCATGCTCTCCGTTGTCCCCTTCGCCGTCTGTCTCTTCGCCATGTTCTTCCTCCGCGAAATCCCACCTCCGACAACCGCCGCCGACACCCAGGAGGAATCCAACTTCTTCGCCATCTTCAACGCTCTAGCCGTCATCGTCGCCGTCTATCTCTTGTGCTTCGATTTCATAAAAAACTTCGGCACCGTCGTCTCCCAATTGTTCTCCGTCGGGTTACTAATTCTCCTCGGATCCCCTTTGATCATTCCGATGTACTCGTTTTTCAAGAATTGCCACTCGAATTCAGCCCAATCGGATTTGGAGACGCAAACAGAGGAGCCGCTGTTGAAGGAAGAAGCCACCGTTGCCGCTCCGGTAAAGGAGGAAATAACAGAGGAGGAGCAGAAACGGCCAGTGATCGGAGAAGAACACACGATTATTCAGGCGGTGAAAACCATTGATTTCTGGGTATTGTTCATATCGTTCCTATGTGGAGTTGGGACCGGATTGGCGGTGATGAACAATATGGGTCAGATCGGATTAGCTCTGGGCTACGCCGATGTCTCCATGTTCGTCTCTCTCATAAGCATTTGGGGCTTTTTCGGCCGGATCCTCTCCGGTTCCCTCTCCGAGCATTTCCTCAAGTAAGTTCCCCCAAAAGTCAACACTAATGAATTTAAACATGAATCAATATTAATAATCACACAATTTCAGGAAATTGGGCACACCAAGACCCTTATGGAATGCAGCATCTCAAATTCTAATGACAATTGGCTACATTTTGATGGCGATGGCAATGCCGGGGTCTCTCTACATTGGCTCGGTCATAGTCGGGATCTGTTACGGTATTCGTCTCTCAATCACCGTCCCCACAGCCTCGGAGCTCTTTGGCCTCAAATACTATGGTCTCATCTACAACATTTTGATCTTGAACCTCCCAATCGGGTCGTTCCTCTTCTCTGGGCTTCTCGCGGGATTCCTCTACGACATGGAGGCAACCCCAACGGAGGGCGGGGGGAACACGTGCATCGGCGGGCATTGCTATAGAATTGTGTTTGTTGTGATGGCGTTGGCTTGTGGGATTGGGTTGGGTTTGGACATTTGGTTGGCGTATAGGACCAAGGGGCTTTATTCTAAGCTGAAAGGTAACAAGAGATCAAAGAAGGGAAGCAGCGATAATAGCTCGTTGAGTTGAAGATGATTTAGAATTGGTGGATTGATGGGAATTTTTACCCATCAATAAAAATAACATTTATTATATATATATATATATATATATATATATATATATATATATAAATGTTATTTTTATTAATATAATAAAAATAACATTTATATATAATAAATGTTATTTTTATTAATATTTTAAAAATTAGTGGAATTAGGTATTTATCAATGTCGTGTAGTGAGTAATTAGAGTTGTATTATTATTAATTATGGATTTTATTAAATAAGAATCTTATTTAAAAGAATGAATTTGTATATTGGCCATCGTAATAAGAAAATTTTAAAAAAAAATTAATTATAAGTTTATAGTTAAAATTTATCTTTACATAGTTTTTTTCTTTTTCTTTTTAATTTTAATTAAATTTTTAATAATACTGTTAAATTATTTTTTTAAAATTTAAAAATACTTTTATTATTAATATATATATGATATTGTCCTATTTGTGCATAAGCTCTCCTAACTTTGCTTTGTACTTCTCCAAATGCCTTGTACCAATGGAGAGAGTATTATTTGTTTATAAATCCATGATCATTCCTTAAATTAGCTGATATGGGACTTCAATCAAACACTAGAATAAATTTATTTTTAAATTTTTTTTAAAAAGTTCAAGCATATTTTTTAAGTTATTTCAAAATTTTAAAGATATTAAGGAATTTTTTAAAGTTTTAAGATATATATATATATTTATTTATTTTGTAAAAAGACTTTTAGAAGTTTAAGAATATTTTTGCAACAAAATATTAACTATTTCTAACCAAAATTAATATTTTTGAACTTTTTTAAAATTTAAGATATTTTAATTAATTTGACCTTAAAAATATTACTAACCTCAAATAAAAAGAATATTAAATTTTGGTGAAAAGTCACTCGAAAAGCTTAGAAACAAACGTGTCTTAATTTTTAAGGAGACATTTAGCTTACGAAGTCATGAATGAGAAGCTTGTGTTTGATTGCTTTGAAACAGAAACAAAAGATAAAACAACTAGTAAGGAGAGTGTAACAGTTTAAGTTCACCACGAGTAGATATTGTTCCATTTAGCCTGTTATGTACCGCCATTAGCCTCATGATTTTAAAACGTATCGGTTAAGAAGAGATTTCCACACCCTTTAGCCCGTTGCTTACTACCATCAGCCTCATGATTTTAAAATGTGTCTGTTAGAAAGAGATTTTCACACTTTTTAGCTTGTTACGTATTACCATCAACCTCATAATTTTAAAATGTGTGAGTTAGGAAGAGATTTCCACTCCCTTTTAAGGAATGATTCATTCTCCTCTCCAATTGATATAGAATCTCACCCCGATACTTAAGTATGGTCCATGTGAATGAATGAGTGGGTGGGTGGGAAGGGCATTTAGGAAGTGGATGAATTGTTTCATGTGAGCCACACTCAAAAAGGCTCTCAACCCCTCCAATTCCCTGCATTCCCCACTTGGGAAGTTAGAAAGGAATGGGCAATTGAGGTATTATTATTCCCTTGTCTCCCGGTATATCCTCCATTCTTCTTAAAACACGTTAATTATTTACGACTAAACTTTAAACGTAAGATCCCACATCGATTGAAGAGAGGAATGAGTGTCAGTGAGGATGTTTGCTCGATCTCAAAGGGGGTGGATTGTGAGATCCCACATCGATTGAATAAGGGAACGAAACATTATTTATAAGGGTGTGGAAATCTCTCCCTAGCATACACGTTTTAAAAATCTTTAGGGGAAACTTGAAAGGAAAAACCTAAAGAGAACGATATCCAGTAGCCGTAAGTTTGAGCTATTACACTAAAACCCTAAGTTTTAGGGCTACTGTGGCCAATCGTGGTATTTGTTGAGCTTTTGTATGAACTTCTTGTCGGATTATCAAAATATACACTTCATAACGTTTCTCATTTCATGTTTTTTTTTCCTCGGTTTTTAATAAATAAATAAATTAATTAAGATTGCATTTGAATTATCTTTATAAGTTTGAAAAATAAATTTTTTTAGTGAAACATTTGAATTTAAATTTTAAGAAACTTATTTATCAATGTTTAATTGAGAATTCCTTCCAAAATTTCGTAATATATGAAAATGACTCAAATACTCTCCGACAACTCTCCTCTCCATGATCGCTATTGACCACTACGACCACCACCCACTAGCAACCACTCTCGTCCATTGCAAGCAACAAATTGTCATCAAATGCCACTCAACCGACCATCGATGAACAATCATAGCATTTGTATTTGAGAGTTAGTCATATTATCTTAAATACAAATTTAAAGTTATTAAATCAAAAAGTTGTACTTAAAAACACTTTCGAAAAATATAGAACGTTTTATCTCTAAATCGACAAAAAAAAAAAACGTGTTTAAACGAAAACACAATCGAAACTAACCCTAAATCACTTCAAACATGGTAAGAGTGAGACAAAACATTTTTATAATTTCCAAGAACAATTAAATTAGATGTTTGATGACAAAACAAGAAGGCAAAAAAATTCTGTCTTTATATGGGAAGAGTCACATGAAATGGTGTCGAGAGAGCTTGTGAACAGATTTTCACTGTTCCTCTTGTGATTTCTTCTTTCCCTCTCTTTAAAAAAACCCTTCAAAGTTCACTTTTTTCCTTACACCATGACAAAACTCCATTCCTTCTCTGCTTTTCTGGGTTTCATCTTCTTGCTTCACCTTGTTCTTGCTGTTCTTGTTGATTCATACGGTCCCTTCTCTCTCAAATCTCAAATCTCTTTGATTTTCTGTCATTTTCTTGGGAAAATCTTGTGTTTTCTTCTTATCTTTTTGTGGGGTTGTTTTGTTTGTTGCAGATGGGCCTTTATACGATTACACAGCTCACACTGAGGTAATATTATGCTCTGTTCTATCAGTTTCAAACTTTTTTGCTCTGTTCCTGAAATGGGAAGCTGAAAAGGAGCTATCTTTTTCAAATGGGGTTCTTTGATAGTGTAAATTACGTCCAGAGAAGCCACTTTACAATGGAGGAATCCTTAGAAATCGACCCTCCATTCTCCAAAACACTGGGAGCTCTTCAGCTGCTACCTATTCCCCTGCATTCCTCTTGCGCAATCTCACAGACCATACCTTTTATTCATTTTCAAGTAAGTTTCTTCGTGTTCTTCGTGTTCTTTGTTCGAGCCAGAAGATCAGAATCCAGCTAACTCAGAGCCACTTGGATGATAGGTTGGGTGAAGATAGGAGGAGCAGTGTCAAGTGTTGTGAGGGCAAGCCTCAGGACTGAGAATGATACTCACAATTGTATAGGCACTGTTTTGGCTAAGCGTGGCTGTTGGTCTTTTCTCAAAGGTGGATTCTTTCTGAACTCGCCTTCAAATTTCTCTATTCTGTTCTTTCAGGTGTGAGCAGAAAATGATTCTGAATTAAGGCATTCGATTTAGTTCAATTGGGTGTTCATTGAATTCTTTGTTCTTTTTACAGGTTTTTGATGATGGAGATGCTAATATAGCCATTGATAGCGCTTCTTTACAGCCGTTTACTGAAGAAGAGTGGAGGGTTAATCAAGAACTCAAGATCAATACTGTAAGTTTGAAAATGAGTTGATCAATCCTCTGTTTGGTTGCCAAGAAAATGGCATTGTGTGAGATCCCACGTTGTTGGAGAGGGGAAGGAAACATTCCTTATACGGGTGTAAAAACCTCTTCTTAGCAGACACGTTTTAAAAATGTGAGGCTGACGGCGATAGGTAATGGGCTAAGTTGGACAATATCTGTTAGTGGTGAGCTTGAGCGGTTACAAATGGTATCATAGCTAGACACCAAGCGGTGTGCCAACAAAGACGTTGTGCCCCCAAGGAAGATGGATTGTAAGATCCCACATCGGTTGGAGAGGGAACGAAGTATTTCATATAAGGGTGTAGAAACCTTTCCCTAGCATAAGCGTTTTGAAACCATAAGTTGATGGCAATACGTAACGGGTCAAGGCAGACAATATCTATTAGCAGTGTACTTGAGTTGTTACAAATGGTATCAAAGTTAGACACCGGGCGGTGTGCCAGTGAGGACACTGGGTCCCCAAGGGGATGGATTGTGAGATCCCACATCGGTTGGAGAGGGGAACGAAACTTTCCTTATATGAGTGTGAAGACCTCTCCCTAGTAGACGCGTTTTTAAAATCGTGAGGCTGATGGCGAAACGTAACGAGTCAAACTGGACAATATCTGTTAGCGGTGATCTTGGGCTGTTACAAATGGTATCAAAGTCAGACACTGAGCGGTGTGCCAGCGAAGACACTAGCTCCCAAGGGGGTGGATTGTGAGATCCTACATCGGTTGGAGAGGAGAACGAAGCACTTATAAGAGTGTGGAAACCTCTTCCTAACAGACATGTTTTAAAACCGTGAAACTGACGGCTATATGTAACGGGCCAAAGTGGATAATATTTGTTAGCGGTAGGCTTGGGCTGTTACAAATAGTATTAGAGCCAAACACCGGGTGGTGTGACAGCGAGGACATTGGGCCCCCAAAAGGGTGGATTGTGAGATCCCACATTAGTTGGAGAGGGGAAAGAAGTGACGTTAGTTTTTTGGTTTGATATTTGACTAATCGATATGAACAGGTGAGGAAACGAGCTGTGACAGTTCATGTTTCTGATAAACAAGGAGGGAGGTTAGAAGGAGCAGTAATTCATGTAAAACAAATCTCCAAAGACTTCCCATTTGGATCTGCCATTGCAAAAACCATCATAGGAAATTTACCTTACCAGGTAATTCATCTTAAAAAAGCAGTCAAAATTCCAGTTTTTGATCTGTTTCTCAAATCAACATCTCATTTTTACTGCCAGGATTGGTTTGTGAAGAGATTCAACGCAGCTGTTTTCGAAAACGAACTAAAATGGTATGCCACAGAGCCAGAACCAGGGGCTCTAAACTACACAACAGCTGACAGAATGTTAGAATTTATCCGAGCCAACCAGATAACTGCTAGAGGCCACAACATCTTCTGGGAGGATCCAAAGTACACGCCGCCGTGGGTTCGGAACCTCACCGGGGCAGCGCTGCAATCAGCGGTCGATTTGCGG